GGCAGAGGAGGTAGCAGGTGAAGAGTGGGAATTTGTGGATTTTGCACAGGCAGGGGCGTTACAATACCAGGCTTTGATAGTAGGTGTTTGAGCCCGAGGGCGCGCTTTGGTGGAAAAGGGCGAAGTGTCATTAGGTCGGGGGGTCTGAAGCGAGAGACTCTGTTCCCATCTTCAATTGTGGCACCGGATAGGGGCTGGAAAGATTCTGCGTTCAACAGCACAGGGGTGAATTTCTTTGGTGCAATTGATGTTTGAGGAGGCACAGGCGGGTATCCAAGGGTAGGAGTGGAGGGCTCATGGTCAGGAAAATGAGATACAGGCCTGGTGACCATTGTGAGGGTCTGTGTGGCTTCCGGCCGCAAGTTGTCGTGACGGTATGGCGGGCTTTGGCGAGGAGCGATTCCAGGATAATGTGGGGCTGTGCTTCAGCTTCGAGTTTTAGAGGATAAGGGGTCAGCTCCGGTATCTGGGGGAGTAGCTATAATACCGATTGGTTTGGAGCAGGCTGTACTGATGTCGAGTACGGAGGGGTGTTCAGCGGAACTGGAGGGGATTTTAAAGGAGGCCGGACCAGTTGACAGGTCCGGTAAGTCATTGGTTGAATCTGGCGTTCTCCGACAGCTATGTGCAGATGTATCCCAGGTGATATGACTTTCACAACTTTCCGAGGGGTTGGTTTTATGAGTAGTCTGCGACTGAGTCACATCGGGAGCATTTATTGGTACGGATTGTTGAACAGAATATGGATTTGTTCGATGCTTATCAGTAGTCGGCTGCAGAATTTCGGAGAGTGGGTTTCTTGTGAGCTATCTTTGTAGTCTGGTACGAGCAGCTCTGACCTTTACGGTCTGGAATGTCCGGGTCGACGACAGAAGGGCCTGAGATGTTAACAGGCGCCTTGCACCGTCGTCATCTCTAAATTGCACTAGTATTAGGCAACGCAAGGAGGGTTTCGACCTTTGCAGCCGCCGGGCTGTACAGACTGTGTCATGCATGTTACATGCTGTTAAGATGGCGGCTTTTGTGCGTTCTATCGGGATGCGGTCGGGGACATTATATAGTATGACATTTTTACGGCTTTCCATCGACGACTAATTTCCGAGGCGAGCATGTCAACAAAGACTGACGCTTTTGCAAGATCTGATGGATCGCATATTGCATCAGGAGTTAGAAGGCAGGCAATTGGTTGCATGATACGATAGGATAACAGTTCATTCTCCACCTTATGCACACGAGCACTGAGACTTGCCAGGTCGGTGTGGAGCTGAGATTCATTTGGTGAAGAGGATGAAAGGCAGCTACTGGGTATGGCAGGAAGGGAAATGTCAGTTAATACAACTGAGCAGGTAGGATTTAGCTGGGGAAATCTATCGACTCGCCTTTGAGGATAATGAGGTTTAGTGTTATGCCTTTTGCCTGCAAGGCGCTTCTTTGGAAGCAATGGGGAGAAGGATGATGGGGAATCAGGGTCTAGCAAGCGCTTAGAGGAAGATGGGATTGGTGGCATTGTTTGATTCAAATCAGTTAATAGTAAGCCTCAGTGGGATTATGCTAGCAAGCTTATGCTCAGTGTGGCCTAATCAAGCTAGGAAGAGTTTGAGGGGTGGTTAGGTGCGGTTGAAAACGAGATATCTAAAATAGGTAGCGATAGCTCTACTAGGGTAAGTAAAACGCTACGGTCGGGCTAGGGTCCCGAAAATGTTTTTACAACTCTTGACCTTGAGATTCAAATTTTCACAAGCTCCAGCTTCGCGTAGGCTGAGGAATATTCAATTAGAGGAACAAGGATTAGAGAACTTCAGGGAAGTAAAAAACTTTACGTCGTAATGCGAGGGTCTCAATTAGTCTAAATTATCTATATGAGCTGGTAGCTTAGATGGGAATGTGGAAGCTTGGGATGGTGGCGGTACGTCGAGAGGGACGATTACGCAGATGAGGACCAACCGTTCTCCACATACTGAGGGCTGACGCTGACATGATTAGGCCCACTGAAGAAGGGAGTGCAGTTGGCCTTGGCTGTCACAGCTAATTGAAAGACCACCATAAATAACTAGTTATCTGATATAAAAATGGGTACAGGCCTATGGATGGGCGAGAATCCAAAAGGGTTCTGCAACATCTTGAAATTTTAGTTTCGCGCTGTCAGTCCTGACACATCAATAGAGCACTTACGTCTTATGTATGTCGGGATGTAATGCGTTCAGAGACACCAGGTTAGTCGTGCGGTCGTGTTCCGGTATCTGGGAGGAAAACTCATCGCTTTGCTTATCGGTTTGTGCGGATAAAGCCGCCCTTTTAACAGCCTAGACAGCTGGTCAAACAGTCTAATAGCTTACTGGTTAGAATCGACCGACGCCAAGCATTCATCAAAGTAGAAGTTCTTTTCCGACTCTTCTAGTGTTTTCATCGACTCACAGTTGTCATAAGCAGTTTGTCTCAAAGCAAACGTTCCGAAAAATGGCGAAAACGTCGCTCCATATGGTGAACATTGATTTCGTAGACCTCCGAGGACTGTACTAAGGTACCTCCGGTGTACCATGGAAGGCATAGTGGTGCCGTATCTTCTGGCCTCAACTGAACTTGCAAGAACATTTCTCCGATGTCTGTAGACAATGAAATATCTTTCAAACAAAATCGTAGCAAAAAGCCGGTGGTATCATCCGCCAAATCTGGTCCGGAATATGATAGCCATTCAGCGACAGTTTTCCAGACTTCGCCGCAAAATCAAACGCTGCCCTTACCTTCCCCGGCTTGTGCGGATTAAATACAGGATGCTGCAGGACTAATCGACATAACTTAGACTCGTCGGCTGGGGCTCTGTTGACGTAGTAATTGGTTTCATGTTCTAGTATAGTGCTTGCACACAGCCGCAAGAGATTCGGGTTCTTTAGTAAGCCGAGCCGAAGGTGCTTCAGTCGTTACTCGGCAATGTGTTTGTTTTCCGGTAGGTCATTCCAATCACGTTTTCGTGGCAGCCGGACCTGATAGCGACTGTTCTAGAGGCAGAATGATTGCCTTACTAGACATGGGGCTTGCTTATCCTCGATCGACGTAGATATATGCATTTTGGGACCTTGCTCATTAAATTCGGTTTCAAAAAAACGTGTTACGTCCCTTTCTATAGTCTCCTGCGTATGAAGGTGGTTCATTGAGGTGGTTTTGCTGCCGCCGACAACTAATGGACCAAAAACGACCCAACGGAATGCATTCAATGATGCATACGGCTGCATACTGGTCGTGATATGCTGCTGTCACCCAGAGTGTATATGGCATATTCGTACCTATAAGAATAGACAACTTTTCGGATGCGGTTCGAGGGATTGCAATGTCTCACAGATGAGACCAGCGACAAAGGAAATCTCGAGACGGTACGGTTGGTTTCATCAGCGGCGGCTGATTCGTTGAATACACGGTTTATACATGCATCTGCTAATCCTCGTTTGGGGACTCCATGGCCAAACTGAAAGCCGTCGCACTCTTTTTCGGCGCTCCATTGCTAGAATTAAACTCCAATCCTGTTGGGGTACTCTTCAATTCAATCCTGTCAGCAAGTTTGAGCGACACTAAAATAGAGTTTGATCTACTATCCAGAACTGTATACTATAGTAGAGCGCCACTGGGGCTGACCAGTTGCACTGGAAAATACCCTAGGAGTGCTAACGGAACCTCTGCTGATTTCAAGTTTATATTAGTAGTACGCGAAGTGGTGGCCTCGCGTATCTGTCCATGTGCAGTAACCGATGTTGGTATTTGCTACATCTTGGGACGTCGCAGTGCTTGAGGTCTCGGCATTTGTCTGCTCGGTTGTTGGGTTTTAGGCAATCAAAGCACAGCTTAGGTCCCCCGACGCCTGAAGTTCCCCTGCTGAGAACTTGGCCTGAAAATGCAACACAATCGCATAAAGAGTAGTGGGCCGTACACACCGGAAAACTCATACAAAAGATCTGATGGTTAGGATCTCAAAGTGGCGGGCAAAAACAAAACGAGAAACTGTATAACAAAAAGCCTCCTGCCTGGAAGGTGAAAAAAACAAAAAAGCTTCAAACTTCAAGGGGTTTGGAGCCAGAATAATGGATTTGGGGAGGCAGCTGAACTGCCAAGACATGGCGGCCAATCTTCAGCTCCACTACGTCAAAAGAGGCCTCCCTGCTTGTGGATACGACCGTCGCCCAGAACCCCGGCAGTCGAAGCCATAAACGTGACTACAGCTAATCGAAAAGGCCCTCGTACATCCGGTAGGCCACGCTGATCGCTGGTGGATCGGGTGTCTACACAAATACGAAATAAAAGCGACTGCAGCTAAACAAGCCCTATAAGATTCGCCAGATTAGAAAACTGCTGACTGGCTTCAAGGTGCAGTCTTCCGCGAAAGCGAGCCTCATGAGAGCTCCACCAAAAGCATTATTTCTGGGTGCCGCCACCCAGCGCTCACGTCCTCGCAGAGACACTTCCCTGGCCAAACCGTGCCAGTACACCCAAGATTCCAGGAAGGCGAACGTCTGCGGCAAATCTTTGATCAACAGCAAATCTGGTCGCCAAAAAGGCGGTTCCGAAACAGCTACAAGCAGCAATGATCCAAACGTTCGCCCACGAGGGAAAAACGCCGTCCCCCAAAGCTAAAAAGCCTGAGAAAACCGGGCTCTCACGGGGCAAAAAACTTGCAAACGAAAAGTATCCTCAAAAACCACGAAGACAGGAACCAGACGATATCACTCTTGCAGGCAGCAGAGACAGTGTTAAAATGCTTGTTCACAAACTGCCTCAGCCTTTTCAACAAACTTGGCGATGCTAAACAATCAGTTGGCCTTGAATAACCGTCAATAAGCGCATTCACAGAGAGCTGGCTCGCAACAGAGGTCTCTGACGCGGAGATCTCGATAGAAGTTAACTCCATTTTTTGGGCTGACTCAAAACAAGGGAGGGCTGGTGGCGTTGCTGTGTACTTACATGCGGCCCTACTAATCCCGATTGTCCTCTCTGATACCACTCCTGCACCCTTTAGAGAAGCACTGTGGGTCCAAACCTCGCTGCGCGAGTCCGATTCTCTCCTTCTCGGTGTGGTCTACTATAGCCCCTCGAGTCTTCCTGAAGATGACCAATTCCCCATACAAACCCTTGAGCAACACTCCAAAAACCACTTCATTTATCTCCTGCAGATAGGTGACTTCAACTCTCCAAAGGCCTACAGGGGGGAGATCCAGCGCATCGAATCAAGCGGACTTTAGGCACTGGCAATGATTAAAGTAGTACAACAGAGCGCCTGAACTCAACATGTCGTTACCACTTCATCTCCTGCAGATAGGTGACTTCAACTCTCCAAAGGCCTACAGGG